TCCCCGAGCAGCGGCCCCCCCCGGCCAGCTTCCCCCAGTTTATGTGCTGAGCATGACGTCCCATGGTATGGAACGTCCCTCTGGCCAGTTTGGCTGTGCTCCCTCCCAGCTTCTTGTGCACCTCCAGCCTTCTCAGTCGGTAGAGCGTGGAAAACTGAAAAGTCCTTGACTAGTGTAAGCACTGCTCAGCAACAAGTAAAACATCGGTGTGTTAGCAACTTTGTTCTCACCCTAAATCCAGAATCCAGCACTGTACCAGCTACTAGGAAGGAAATTAACTCTATCCCTGCCGAAACCAGGACACTGAGGCATCTTGCTAGCGGCTATTTTGTGACTGTTCTAGTACTGAAATGCTTTTTGAAGTTGTCTTTGAGGTGGTGGTTGCTTATGCCGCTGCAGAAGTTGGCAGGTAACCAAGGGAAGAAATTCTGCCCAGCCCAGATAACCAATTAAAAAAATCAAAAGGCTTTTTTGGGTACTGAAGGACTGAAACAGCATGATTTGCCTAGGATTTGTACTTTCTTGTTGGTGCGGAAGTGCAGCTGGAACGTACGTTCTTACTAAGACAGTAGTGGCCTGATTTTGGTGTTAAGGTGTATTGAGCACTTGGGGACTAGCGGGAAGAAGCAGGGTGAGAAATTTATTCTTTGTGAATTGTTTTGCTCTGTCTCCAGGAGGATTTCTAAATCACACTAGAAGCAGTCCAGGCAGAAGCTGGAACAGCTCTGTTAAGTCATCATTTGCTCAGAAGGAGGAAATCCTGGTCCACTTCCCTGAAAGAAAACCCCAGTCAACAGGGCTGAAAGTCTCCCGCTGTTTTGGACAGCGTGTCTTCCTAACTTAAATCTCTTCTGACTTCTCTGTGGAGTGCCTTCCCCTTCCAGGGGATGCGCCCTGCTTCCTGATGCCCTGGGAACAGGCTGCCTCTGCTTGGTGAGCTCATTTTCTTTGAATCCGGGGCTGGCAAACTCCTGAGTAACCTCAGCCGTCATCCGGTCTGCACCAGAGGGCTTAGCAGCGCGTCCCTCGTTCGGCTGTAGTTTGCCCTGGAAATTCTGCGTGGTTTTTCTTATCTCGGTCGTGGGCTCACAGCCCCGAGGTCCTGTGCAGGCCTTGGGGCAACGTTTGTGTGAGTCAGGTCGTTCTTGTTTTGATTTCGACTTGGATTTTTTTCTGACTTCATTTATCAGCAAATGCAGCTGACTGCTTTTAAGCTAGGTGGCTGGTTCCTGTGCTGTTACCTAAACCACCAGATATATTTGTCTAATTAAGGAGGGCTATGTTGACCAGAGATGGCAGTAGGTGTACTCTTCCGTTCTGAGTCACTAATCTTCATAAAACTAGGCGGAACTTAATATCCCAGAAGGACTTTAAGAGTTTTTCCTGTTTTTTTTCTTGTTTTTCTTACTGACGTGTGAACAAGAATATAATGCCTAAAGATCTTCCGCCGTTTAATGTGGGCAACTCTGTAAATGCCCGTACTCGTGCACAAAGCATTTGAAATTCAAGGTCGTGATCTTGGGTAACCTTGTTCTGGCCTGATGATAGTAACACCTTGTCTCTATACAAACTACTGATGGTTCTATTTGTTGTTTTTTTTTAATGCAAAAGTAACAGAAATGTGGAAGAAATGACTAAAACGGATTTGTTAACTACTAGCCTGCAGAGCAAATATCCGCAGTGGATGCTTACACAAAGCCAAGAAGGAGTTTTGGGTGATAAAAAGGTATGTCGTCACGTGGGGAAAATTTAGTTGGTTGCAGGCTGCATAATAAAACAACGCTGGACCACATGCTTTTAGTTAGACCTGTGCCTCTGAGATTTGTGAATGTTTCCTGCTGTTTTGTCCTATGATCTGTAATTAAATTCAGGTACTCTTGTGTTACTACTGGTGGAATTAGCTTGTTAAAGTCCCTTTTTTTTTTTAAATGAAAATATCACGTATTGACCAAAGGCTGTCGCTGTTATCTCTGTAGGAATTTATTCCTGACAATCTCGAATTTCAGTGGTAAAACCATCCAAGTATAAGGCAGCTTTTGATGCGTTGCTCACCCAGTATTGTGGG